CACCAGCACGTACCTTGAGATCCTCGGGCAGAGGTCTGTTGTCTGTTCCAGAGTCTCGACTGAAAACTAAGGGGACAGAGCGTTTGCTGTCAGGGCCCCGAGGCTCTGGAACAGCCTGCCCGAGGAAATCAGGTCAGCTGAGTCAGTGAACTCTTTTAAGTCCCTTCTTAAAACATACTTTTATAGGAGAGCCTTTCCCGATCTTATTTGACTTTATTTTATCTCTTTTATTTTATTGTATTTTACTAATTTTATATTAATCTGTATTTTAGACTTTTCAATGTTTTCATGCTCTTATCTTGTTTTTTTTGTATTATTCTTTACACTTGTTAAAGCACTTTGTAACTTGTTTTTGAAAAGTGCTCTACAAATAAGGATTATTATTATTATTATTATTATTATCTACACGCCAATACCGATTTATATTCATAGCGGCAAGTGCTATGTAGCTCCACATAGGGGACACAGGAAGTAACATATAACACCTTCATGTGGCGTCGGAACCGCGTAGCAAATTCACAGCCGCACCGGCAGAGCTCCAGAATATGCAACGCGGCCGGCTCACACCCGGACACGCTACAAGTGCGAGGGCCCGCCCAACGCTGCTTGCAGCTTTAATTTCTAATTAAGTTGCAACTTGCTCTTTTTTAGCAAATATATTCTTTCCTCTTGCTCATGCTGACTCTGAATGCAATCTGCGTTCAATAAAGCAGTAGTCATACATTTGTGGGGAATTTGAAATTCTTGGGTAAATGATATCACTGACATTAACCTACAGTAACTCCATTAGTGTGTGATCCGCTGTACTCTCGCAGCTGCGAGTGCTGCAGACAGACAAGATGTTCAACTAACCTCAACATTAGGAAATGGCATTGTCCATTTTAGGGGTGTCAGAAATCATATTTCAAGATTCTTGAATATAAGACATGAATATGGGAAATATATTGTACTATTTACAATTACAGGTAAGAAAGAACCCCTGAACTGTTGTTTTTGCCTGTTAATTAGGGTCAGACCCCCTCAATCCCCCCTGTAATTCGAACCATGGGTCTGGCCTGTGACACTTGAGACTGATAAAATGATTGTATTTCTCAGCATAATGTTCATACTCTTTAATTCCACAGTGCAGAGAGCCTCCAGCCTCTATGTGAGACACTCACACATAACAAGGCTAAATGCATCAGCAGTGAATCACAAGTGTGCCACTGCTAAAATGAATTTTTATCTTCAGACAGACTTCCCAATTCCTATTGGGTAACATAAATACGACTGTGCAGTTTAGGTTTAGGTGTTTCTGTTTTCCTGGTTTACACTTATCTTCTGCTGGGGAGTAATGCAGGGCCGGCCCTGACAGTGTCAGAGCCCTAGACGGAATTTGAAATTGGCGCCCCCCGTCCCAACCACCCACCCACCACTGCAGGGGTTGGGGTCATCACTCCTCAGAGATTGTTTAAAAAGTTCAGCAGCTAAACTCACAATTTTAGCACGAATGGATGAACAGACAAGTCAACAATCATGTTCAATAATGAATAAGTGTGATCAACCTCCACATCATAGCCTGAATTAGGTAGGCAGGTAGGTTTATTTTCACAATATAACAAGTTAAAGAGTAAAATTGAGTTTAGTAACTCTCTTCTGCTACATAGCAGACAATATACATTAATAAAGAATCAATTATGAGGATTAGGAGACCAAACCTAACCTGGTATCTGGGAATGTGTCTCCCCATAAACTGTGTGTCAACCCACATATTGTTTTCTTGCATTGCAAGGTGGGGGGACTAATGAAGAGGAGATTTTTAAGCATTAAAGACTTCATTTCCTGCATTCTGGTAAAAAAAATTCTGCATTAATTTCTGGTGGATGTCTTTATTTATATAAAGGGAAACACAATATTCAGGCAGCATGTGACAATTCAAAATATATAAAACAAAATAGAATATGTTACAGTAAGGCTTTAAGGCATTCTGTAGCTATTGCTTAATTATTTATTACTAATTATATTTTCTCCTTTCGATCACATTTTCTAATTTAATAAAATCCCTGCTGAGTCCGTGCATGCTTAGCCTTCTCTCCTCTTTTGAGTCTCTCTTTGAGGAAGTAACCTCAGTAGGATTTCTGCTCATGTTCAAAACTTTCTGCACATTCAGAAATGCTCACACATATCTGTGTTCTCTGACGTGTCACAATATTATGAGACTAACGTCATTATTTAATGAGGATTCATAATATTTTTGCTCCGCTGAAAGTAAGCTATCCCCTTTATACCGTTTGACCGACACAGTTTGGGACTGCGTGCTGCATGTGAAACCGAAACCAACCAACAACACTTGTGATCAGGCAGAAATCTCACCACAAATACACACGTTAACTTCAGCAGCTCCGATAAAGTGCAGCTCACATACAGTCTCAAACAGAGCAAGGTTGTGCCTCAGTTTTTAGATGTTTATATTGCAAAACTCTACCAGTTACGTTACCAATCGTCACTGTCTGGCGCGAGGTGCACTTGATTAACCTAGTATCACGGCTTACGGCGGTGTCGCATCAGCTGGGCTGAGTTGATTCACACTGAGCCAAAAACTTTCTCTTGTGGTACCTCCTGACATTTTGTGCCCTGGGCAACCACCTATGTCGCCTATGCCACAGGCCGGCCCTGGAGTAATGTGGGGCTCACTTTACAGTGCAAAGGCCAGACTCCTGTGCACACTGCAAAGACCTGTAGGCTAAAATGGCAGCATTGCAAGCTCAGACTGAAACAACATCTGTGTTACAAACCTGGTAGCTGCAGCTGGAGGCTCATATTTCAAAAAGCAGTAGTTTAATTTGTTGAAAGAACAATCTTGACTCAGCTTGTGGTGTAGCGTTTGTATCATACAGTCGTCCTCAGCAGATTGAGTTTGCTCAGCTGCGGTTGAAGATAGTGTTCAAACTCTCCCAAACGCTAGGCTGAGAGACACAGCATACACCTACACTTGCAGGCTACTATTTTGTTGTCGGGTGGGTGCGGGTATTAAAGGTGCTGTAGAATGGAAAACTGTATTTCCCTTGGCATAGTTGAATAAAAAGAGTTCAGTGCATGTGACTGACACACGGTGAGTCTCTATCTCTATTGTTTCCCCCGTCATATGTAAATCTTGTGCACCCAAAATACCCCTGAAAAATGGGCGAATGCCAACAAGCACTAGATGTTATGTAACATCTGGGTTGTTTACGCCCCCAAAGTTACATAGACCAGCCCACGTTTCAGAGTTAGAGGTCATACGAGCTGACGATTGTGCAGTGTGTCTCACAGAAAGTGCTTTTAGGGAAAGGTAAATATTTTCTGGTCCTCTGGCTGCTCTGCCTCAACTCTGTGGTTTATGAAGTTTCTTGTTGGACAGATAGCTTTACTCATTGCTAACGCTACGGATTGATAACCACTAGCTGTTGCTAACAGTAGCTCCTGTTATCAGATGGCTCTGAACCAGAGGTCCAAAGCTTCTGTAGTAACGTTAGAGGTGTAAACACCAACACAAAGGATGAGAAAAGTGTTTTTTGAACATTAACGCATGTGAACATTTTCTAGTAAAAACCCTAAATACAAGTATGAACCTGAAAATGAGCATTAACTTTAAAATAACTCTGACCCCAACTCACTACTGGCTTCCATTGCTGCTGCTGGTGATCAGTTTGGATATTTAGCTTTACAGTGTGTTTACTCGTAACCCAAAGAGGCAGGTGGTCTCATCTTTTTAAATGTTGTCATATTTACTAAAACAGTCACTGTATCCTGACAGCAGTACATTTGACAAATAATCAGGTTCCTCTGGCTCCTCAAACTGCTCCTGATGGCATCTGCAGCAATCCACCGCTGCCTGAAGAAAACAACCAATCAGAGCCAGGAGCAGTCTCTAATGCATTGTCAATCACTGCTCGTGCATGCAGTCAAGCTCAATATCAGTGTGGCTGTCTGATAATGACTGAGAAGATCAGCTTTTTCTTAGTTTCAGTTTTATGTAGCTGAGCTGTGTGCCTCCATTTCAAGAGGGAATCAAAATGGCCATGATCAGGTGTCCCCAGGTTGTTGTTTTTTTATCTTTTTTTATTCAGGGAGCTTCACTGAGAGCCTCTGATTTGCAGGAAGGCCCTGACCACATTCACACCAGGAACAACCACAGCCTGGAGCAGTTGGGGTTATGGGCCTTACTCAAGGGCACCTCAGTGGTGGTAAAAGAGGGAGGGCAAACACTGCATGTTTTACTTTCCAAATCCAGATTTTATCCTGCTGTTCCGGGTATTGAACTGGTGACCTCCAAGCTCGCTTCTCTAACTGTGGGGCCACCACAGCCCAGGTTTTGCTGTTCATCAGAGTTCTTCTGTATAAAACTAAAGCTTTCTCAGCTTCCCCTTTTGCACTGCTGAGCGTCTTGTAGTGTAGTGGTCATCATGTTTTAGTTCACAATAATTGCTGTCCTGTTGTGTGTCCAGTGTTTGGGACTGTATGCGTGAATGGGGCTGGTGAGTCAGCTGGGTTTCTGTGCTGGTCATTAAAGTACTTCTGATGATACTCCTCCTTTTTCTGATGTTGTTTCCTTGGACAAAGCATCCTCAAAGCAGACTGAGAATGCTGGTTTGTTGGTTACCTGCAGCACTAGGACGGCTAAAATCACTTACTAGGAAGAGAGGAAATAGAACACACACACCTCAGATCCAAGGTCCAAGGTTCATTCTAGAAAAAGCCTTTCTAAACTGATGTTACTACTGGATGGTGCTTTTAAAGGACTAAAAGATCCACAGATGCATTTTATTCACATTACAACAGCAAAAAAAGGGAATGCATTACAATAACCAATCTAAAATGTTTTGTAAGCCACTGGTTTTGACAGAAAACTGAGTGGTTCTGCATCAGCAATGCAGAGCGGCAAGCACAGCTCCTCTGACACACTAACTCAGCCTTTGATATGTAAGCGCAAGTTTCTAACTGTCTCTCTCTATTCCTCCCCCTTTCTTTTTTTCCATCAGGGCGAAGTGGGACCCAGGGGAAGGAAAGGAGAGGTTTGTCGAATTAGACTTCATGGTATTAGATATAATCATTCTGTCTTATTCTGTGCCGCAGTGAAAAGCCCTGTCTAGCCTGCATGGCTGCTATGGAAGTCTTACAGAGCCAATACCTCCAGGCCTGGGGAAATCTGACCCCCCGGGCAAAAATGTACATCACAAAAGCCCTCTTTTATAAAAGCGCACACATGTGAAATATCAAACACTTACTGTACTGTCTACAGAATCACAATTTATGGAGATAGAGCTTCCTTCAGTTGTACAAGTGCTATACCATTTGTAGGATAGCATTAAATCCGTCCATAAGTGCAAGCTTTCTGATCACTAAAAACAGTGAAGAGCAGAAATCCTTGTAAAGCTGTATAGATTTAATTGGTATATGAAATGACAACTGCCATCTAGCTACTTCAGTTGGCTTACAACGCAGTCTGTTAATGTTTGTAGAAATGTAAATGTTTCATGCATTAAGTTGGCTCCTCACCAGCTGAAGGTCCATGTAGAAGAGACTGAAACAAAGACATAGCATTGTTCTTGTATGAGTACAAATAAAATATCAAATTGTTCTAGAGCAGGACAGGTCACCAGTGTTAGCCTAAACTCTGTTTTTTGGCTTTTTTGTAACCTGTAACCCCAGAATGTACGTAACCAAGTTAGTTAATGATCTGCTCAGCCTTGGTAGTAACACAGACACACCTCTACAGGAGCTGGTAAGCTAGTTCACCACACATGCTAATGATTGCCACTTATATCTGAGTAGACGAACACACTGTTCAATCTTGTATTTTTGCGTCTTGGACACGTAAAAAAAGACATAGCTCTTTAAATACTGAGTATCTTTCACTGCAGAGAAGCTTGACAGATCTGCCGTGCCTAGTTACGGTTGTTAGGCAGTGTTTGGGGGCGGGATTAGCAAACAGTTCATTGATCATATAAAGAAATAACATAATTTTGTCAGTGACTGCAGAATAACTAGATCACCTGTTTTTCTTTTGTAATGTGAGATGTTCTGTCCTAACTCCTGCTCCCTCAGAAAGGAGTGACAGGTGACGTAGGCTCCAGGGGGCCTGAAGGAAAGAAAGGGGACATGGGCCACATGGGTTCTGTTGGTCAAAGGGGATTTCCTGGCCAGGACGGGTTGCCGGGCCAACCAGGCCAACCAGGATATCCGGGGAAACCTGTGAGTGAACCTCCTCCTGACCATCTCTGAGCGGATTAGCAAAAGAAAGAAAAATGGAAGTAATTTTCTGCCTGTACTAGAGGACTTATGTTGGGAGTAATGGGGACGCAGCTGTCAGTGTGGGTGGGCTATGTGGAGACAGAATGTAAATTTGCAGGGCTACTCAGTCGTGAGTCGCTGATTCAGCTCAAGTGTAACTGTGTTGCAGGGCAAGCCTCCCTCAGATGAACATCTTCTAAAGCTCTGTGAGGACGTTCTGCGCAGTAAGTACTTGCTTGTTTTTATGTTACTTGGCTGAGAACCTGAGTCTGAAACTCCTTCCCAACACACACCACATGCTGCTAACAGTCCACAGCTCCAGAGCCAGAAACACCTGCAGGAAGTGATAGGAGGAGAGAGGAGAGGGACAAGAAAGCACAAGATTACGGAAAAGGGAAGAAGTCGAGTTAGTAACATGCATTAATGGGATGAGGTTGCATACAGAGGGAGAGAAAGTAGAGGAGAGAGGAGCTCAGTGTATCATGGAAAATCCCCCGGCAGTCTAGGCCTATAGCAGCATAACTAAGGGATGGTTCAGGACTCACCTGAGCCAGCCCTAACTATAAGCTTTATCAAAGAGGAAAGTCTTAAGCCTACTCTTAAATGTGGAGATGGTGTCTGCCTCCTGAACCCAAACTGGAACCTGGTTCCACAGGAGAGGGGCTTGATAGCTGAACGCTCTGGCTCCCTTTCTACTTTTGGAGACTCCAGGAACCTCAAGTAACCCTGCATTCTGGAAGTGCAGTGCTCTGGCGGGGTAGAGCTCTTTAAGATAAGATGGTGCCTGACCATTAAGAACTTTGTAGGTGAGAAGAATGATTTTAAATTCTATTCTGGATTTTACTGGAAGCCAATGCAGAGAAGCTAAGACAGCAGAAATGTGGTCTGTTTTCCTGGTTCTTGTCAGAATACGTGCTACAGCATTCTGGATCAGCTGAAGAGCCTTAATGGACTTTTTCGAGCAGCCTGACAATAAGGTATTCCCGTAATCCAGCCTATAAGTAACAAATGCATGGACTAGTTTTTCTGCATAATTTTTAGACAGGATGTTCCTGATTTTTGCAATATTACGTAGGTGAAAACGACATCTGATCAAAGATAACCCCAAGATTCCTCACAGTGGTGCTGGAGGCCAGGGCGATTCCATCCAGGGAAACTATATCTTTAGATAATGCATCACGGAGGTGCTTGGGCCTTAGAACAATAACTTCAGTTTTGTACATTTTTAACATTAGAAAATTATAGGTCATCCAGGTTTTAACATCCTGAAGGCACATTTGAAGTTTAGCTAACTGATGAGTTTCATCTGGCTTGATCGATCGATATAACTGAGTATCATCTTCATAAAAATGGAAGTTTATGGAGTGTTTCCTGATAATATTGCCTAAAGGAAGCATATATAAAGTGAAGAGGATTGGTCTGAGCACAGATCCTTGTGGAACTCCATGACTAACTTTGGCATGCATGGAGGATTCATCATTAACATGTACAAACTGAAATCGATCTGATAAATAGGACTTAAACCAGCTTAGAGCGGGTCCTTTAATGCCAATGAAATGTTCCAGTCTCTGTAATAGGATCTGATGGTCAATGGTATGAAGTGCAGCACTAAGATCTAATAAAACCAGTACAGAGACAAGTCCTTTGTCTGATGCAATAAGGAGGTCATTAGTAATTTTCACCAGTGCTGTCTCTTTGCTATGATGAACAATCCTGAAATAAACTATTGCTATGTAGAAAGTCACATAGCTGTTTGGCGACTGCATTCTCCAGGATCTTAGAGAGAAATGGAAGGTTAGATATAGGTCTATAGTTGGCTAAAACATCTGGATCAAGGTTGGGCTTTTTCAGAAGAGGTTTAATTACAGCTACTTTAAAGTACTGTGGTACATAGCCTGTTAATAAAGGTAGATTGATCATATCTAGTAGAGAAGTGCTGACTAAGGGTAAAACTTCTTTAAGCAGCCTAGTTGGGATGGGGTCTAAGAGGCAGGTTGATGGTTGAAGAAGAAGATGAAATTATTGAAGTTAGTTGCTAAAGACTGAGGGAAGCAAAGCAGTCTAAATATATATCTGGTTTTACAGCTGTTTCTAAGGTTCCTGAGTTTAGAGATAAGTCGGTGCCAGTTGAGGGCAGGTCTTGGTGAATTTTGTTTCTAATAGTTTGAATTTTATCATTAAAGAAGCTCATGAAGTCATAACTACTGAGAGCTATGGGAATACTTGGCTCAATAGTGCTGTGACTCTCTGTCAGCCTGGCTACAGTGCTGAAAAGAAACTTGGGGGTGTTCCTATTTTCCTCTATTAATAATGAGTAGTACGCTGCTCTGGCATTACGGAGGGCCTTCCTATAAGTTTTAAGACTATCTTGCCAAATTAAACGAAAATTTTCCAGTTTGATGGAACGCCAATTCCTCTGAAGTTTCTGCGATATTTGCTTTCATTTGCAAGTTTCAGTGTTATACCATGGAGCTAACCGTCTTTGTTTATAATTTTCTTTTTTAGAGGGGAAACAGAGTCTAGTGTCATTCGCAGCAAGCCTGCAGCACTATCAACAAGACGATCGACTTGGGAGGGACTGAAATTAGCAGAGTCCTCTGTTACTTTGTGACTAGATAATGTATTTAGAGCTGATGGAATCGCATCCTTAAATTTAGCTACAGCACTATCAGACAGACATCTTGTATAGAAATTTTTGCCCAATGGCGTGTAGTTCACCAATACACACTCAAAGTTATCAAACAGTGGTCAGATAAAGAGGGATTCTGTGGGAACGCTATTAAACGTTCAATTTCAATACCATATACCAGAACAAGGTCGAGGGCGTGGTTAAAACAGTGAGTCGGTTCATGAACACTCTGAGAGAAGCCGATGGAATCTAACAGAGAGATAAACGCAGTACTGAAGCTGCCATTCTCAACGTCCACATGAATATTAAAGTCCCCTACAATAATAACTTTGTCTGACTAAAGTTGACAAAAACTCAATACAGTATGTTGTGTTTGTGGATTTAAACACTGATTCTGTCTATTGCTCCAGTAGCTCTAATCAAAACATCCTTCATGATGGTCGACCATGATCAGTTTTGTGGTCAGGGGCTGGAGGACCAAGAAAAGGAGGAAACATAATTAACTTAGTGGAAAGTATCCAACGAAGGTTAAAATCAAGGGCAACTGGACTTGGTTGAAGATACTGGAAGACGTTTCGTCCCTCATCCAAAGAACTTCTTCAGTTCTGACTGACTGGCAGGGAAACTCAGCTATTTAACCTCAGTGGGGTCGTTGGCCAGGGTCATCGATACCACTGGTTCGTTAGTGTTCCTGGTTGCTGTGACGACAGTCGTTACAGTCGTTAAGACTACCTGTGGCCAAGACTGAACGACCAACGTTGGTATCTTCACCTGAGGCCAATAGGTTACGTTTGTTGAGTTTCCTGGGAAGTGATGAAAGGACAGCATTGTAAGTGGGGGATAAGTGGTGCCGTAGACCCCCTCCCCTGTTCAATGACGGCTTCTCAACCCTGGTGTAGATGGCTTCCTTGACACCTCTTTCAAACCATCCATCTTCTCTGTCTAAAATGTGCACCTGGTGGTCCTCAAACGAGTGTCCTCTGTCCTTCAGATGTAAGTAGACTGCAGAGTCTTGACCTGAGGAGTTGGCCCTTCTGTGTTGAGCCATGCGTTTGTGTAGTGGTTGTTTAGTCTCCCCAATATACAGGTCTGTGCATTCCTCACTGCATTGGACCGCATACACTAGATTGCTTTTCTTGTGTTTGGGTGTGCGGTGTTTGGGGTGTACCAGCATCTGTCTTAGTGTGTTCTTGGGTTTAAAAAACACAGGGATGTTATGTTTGTTGAAAATCCTCCTGAGTTTCTCTGATACTCCAGACACGTACGGAATCACAATGTTGTTGTTGTTTTCCTCCTCTCCTGTAGTTTTGTTCTTCTTGGATCTTGTGGCTGTTTTCACAAAGGTCCATTTAGGGTATCCACAGGCTGTAAGTGCCCCCTTCAGGTGGTTCTATTCCTTCTCTCTGGCTTCAACCAAGTCCAGTTGCCCTTGATTTTAACCTTCGTTGGATAACTATGACCTGGATGACTGAGAATCTTCATAGACATCTTAGTGGAAAGCACCCAAAGTCTTTGCAGCAAACATGCTTCTGATTGACTTCCTGTTCCAATGTTGTGACTCCTACTGTAACAGGAGAAATCACTAAGTAGAAGTGAGAATAAGAACTCTACGATCACACAATTCTATGATAAATATGCACACACACAGTAGCTATATGTGAGAATGTGGTCAGACTCTCTTATGAAAGCAGTTGTGACAAAATATTCTAATATACTGTAACGGATTACTCAGCACCTTCTGGCTGTGCCCTGCAGATCAACTTCCAGCACTGCTCCAGACCCTGATCCCCCAGCTGGGTGTGAACCTTGCCAGAGCATGAAGGGACCCCCGGGTGAGCCAGGACCACCAGGGCCCAAAGGCTCCATGGGAACTCCAGGCTACCCTGGCAGGAATGGTGCTCCCGGTTACCCAGGACCTCCTGGCCTGCAGGGTCCTGTAGGCCTTAAAGGTGATATAACCCATAATGTAGGGATTGACATGGTAATAATCAACACCTTAGGACAAGTTTATAGTATCTGTATTTAATACTCCCTTTTGAGGCAGAGGTGTCAGATTCACTGTCTGCAAGTGTAACTGAAACTTGAAAACAAGACAATGAATAACAACATCAATTCATGAACAGGAGCTAAGACAAAATGTATTGCTCTCATCAACGATTAAAATCAAAACAGTGTCAGCGACTAACAAATTGAATGTGTTAATGCTCAGTGTACCCCATAAAACAAGATCATTAAACAAGTGAACATCAGCACAGCTACAGACATAAAAATCTTAGTGAGCTGTCTCTGATTTATCATCACTTGAAGATAGCGAGTGGCTAATCAGCCGTGAAAGATGCCAAACTGTACCACTCCACTGCTGTGTATCATTTCCACTCACTGGGTCAGGCAAACAGCAACTTCTGAGGTATCAGGCTTGGTTGAAAACCCTGAGGGAAGAGACAATTTATAAGTAAAATTTACTTATTTTTTTGCTAATTAGCAAATATTAGCATGCTAACAAGCTAAACTAAGATGGTGAACACTGTGAACATTAGATATCAAATGCTAAATATCAAAATATTAGCTTTGTCACTGTGAGCATGTTAGCATGCTTACATTATATTTAAGCTGAGAACACACTATGCCAAAATACAGCATCACAGAGCCGCTAGCATGGCAGGAGGCTGCGGTCCATCAGGACCAAACCTCTCGCCACAAGAACAGTTTCTTTCCGATGGCAGTGGGCTTCCTCAACAAGGCCTGGGTCCCCACTGTCACTGATTCTCATGCCCCCCTCCCCAAACACACACACACACTTATACACACTCTAGACCCCTACACTTTACAACGCTCAGCTGTGCTTTATGCTTATGTTGTGAACTTTTGCACATACTTGTCAGCATTGTATTATAGTATTATTGTATTTTTTGTATACTTTTTATATTTTTATATATTTATATTTATGTTCATGTGTACTTCAAGCACCAACTTATAGCAAGGCAAAATGTACCTGGCAATAAACCCGATTCTGAGTAGATCATAGGCGTTTTACTGGGGCACATGCACCTGTATCCATGTGCTGTGCCTCAGTAAAACTGTCAAGACCCCTTTTTGGACGTGTAGGGCTTCGCAGTGAAGTTAGCAACAATTGGCAACATCTGCAACGTCTGGTCAAGTTAGCAATAATATCAGAATCAGAATCAGCTTTATTGCCAGGTATGTGTACACATATGAGGAATTTGACTCAGGATTGTACATTGCTCACGAAGCGCTTACTCATACAAAAATATAAAAATAAAATAAATCAGACACAGACTTCAGTGTAGACAACAAAAAACAATATAGACATATGACATGATGTGAGCTGGCCGAATTGCACATTCTGGAGCTCTGCCGGTGCGGCTGTGAATTTGCTACGCGGTTCTGACGCCGCATGAAGGTGCTATATGTCACTTCCTGTGTCCCCTGTGTGGAGCTACATAGCACTTGCCACTATGAATATAAATCGGTATTGGCGTGTAGATGTCTTCGGGGTGGGAGAGTTATCAAGCACGTAAAGTTTGGTTCAGATGTGAGCAAGTACGAAGTGTGTAAATCATCCAAAAATGGCCCTAAAATTCAAGATGGCCGACTTCCTGTTGGGTTTAGGCTATGGCTCGAAGAGACTTTTTTGTGCATATGGAGAAGATACACGTACCGCAGAAAATTCGTGCATGTAGGTGAAACATGCGGCGGGGGCTGCTTCGTTAAAAGTCACTTCCTGTTGCCAGCAGGTGGCGCTACGACTGTGGGTGAATGTCAGCATGTACATGTGTTCAGGGCGGGACTCTCATCCTACATGTACAGTTTGGTGCAGATGTGAGCATGTACACTGAAGTTACAACAACTTCCTGTGTCATGGCGAAGAGTTGATTTTTGACGCCACGCCACGGACACGCCCATTGACGAAAATTCGCAGATAGCACAACTTTTCATCGTCAATGCCTTTAGAAGGCACAGCAGAAATTTGACGTCGATCCGACTAAATCCCTAGGAGGAGTTCGTTAAAGTACGAAGTGTGTAAATCATCCAAAAATGGCCGTAAAATTCAAAATGGCCGACTTCCTGTTGACTTTAGGCTATGGGTTCTTGAGGCTTTTTTGTGCGTCTTGACATGATACATGTCCCCAGAAAATTTCGTACATGTAGGTTGAACGTGAACGAGGGGCTAATTTTTTCCAATTTTCTAGGTGGCGCTAGCGAGTCATTTTGCAACGCCCATGTGCGAAACTTGTAGAATACGAAATTTTTCACCGGTTCTGACATGTTTGCAAATTTTGGTGAGTTTTCGAGTATGTTTAGGCCATGTCATTGGGCCTACTTTGCAGAAAAAAGAAAAAAAAAAAAATTAAAGCTGCAGCAGCGTTGGGCGGGCCCTCGCACTTGTAAGCGCGTCCGCGCGTGAGCCGGCCGAGTTGCACATTCTGGAGCTCTGCCGGTGCGGCTGTGAATTTCCTACGCGGTTCCGACGCCGCATGAATGTGCTATATGTCACTTCCTGTGTCCCCTATGTGGAGCTACATAGCACTTGCCGCTATGAATATAAATCGGTATTGGCGTGTAGATGTCTGCGGGGTGGGAGAGTTATCAAGCACGTAAAGTTTGTTTCAGATGTGACATGTACACTGAACAATAATGTACCCAAACAATAAAATAAATTCCTTTTATATTTCCCTGCCTTGTTGTTTATGTGTACATACAGAGGAAGAATGTGAGAACAGCACACATTTCATCGTTACTGTGTGTTAGAGCATGGGAGAACAGTGGATACTTTTAATACAGCCCACACCCCTAATACTGTGTAACTATAACAAGTAGAGAACAGAAGAAAAAGATGTTCTTTCTTTACAACTGTCTGCATAGCTTATTCATATTGTGTAATGAATGAAAATAAATAGGCCTACTAGGCTCCTCTCTACTTTGACATTTAAGATTAGCTTGTTTGATCCACCTTCATACACATGTGACATTACTGTACAACTTGAGAAAGGTGAGTTGTTTTCTGCTCCAGCCTGCCTAAAAGAAAAGCGTTTTGGGATTAAATGGACTTTATTAGCTGCTGCAGTGCAGGATGAACTCAGAATAGACCCATTTCTCACCTTATTATTCTAAATCATGCAACGAAGAAGAAGAAATGCATAAAATCCTGGGACAAAATCTGTCCACAAATACTGTACAGCATGTAGTCTGATGACAAGACTTGTGTTATAGCTGACTTGGGCAGTGAAATGTTTAATTTTTTTAATTCATGTGGTCATAGTTGTCCACAACTCAAATCAGAATATAAGAAGAAATGTTTTATACCACCTCAAGAAGGCTTCCTATCAGAAAGGTAGGAAGGTATTTCAAATGTACAACTGCAGTACTTAAATCTAAGTAAAGTAATTTCCCTGACATTTTTGTGTTACTTTACTTTTAATAGACCCATGTAAGAGGTTTTATACTTCCTGTGAGTATAATCCAATCAATCTTATTTTCATACTGTATATCCGTTGTGTAATTTGATAAATTGTGTTGTATGTCGTGCTCGCATCTCAGAGAAGACTCTGACTGCAACATGCGTCTTTGTAAAGAGAGAAAGACAGAAAAAGTCTCTAACTCTGCCTGTCAGCTCGCTCTGCTCCGTTAAAACTGAATTTACCATACAGAATTGAATACGAGTGCACTCCAGATTTAGCTGCAGCCAGCTGACCGTGTGCTTCTCCCTATACCGCAGTTCTGTGTCCATGCATGCAGCAAACTGAAAGCACTGTCTGTCGGTGCTTCTACGTGAAAAGAGAAGGAAGACATTGCTGGTAGTATTGTCTTCAGAGTTGTTAAACACCTCAGCGCACTGAAGGAAGCCATCTGACTGTGTGAGGGGCAAGATCGTTGATGTCTGCAGGCAGAGTAGGAGCTCTCCTGTCTGACTGGTCCACCAATAGCAGAGAAGATGACCCCTTGAGACACAGCCCCTCCTCATTTGCATAATGAGGCAGAAATGCATACAAAAATTTAAGACAGGCAGAAATAAATACCATGGGTGAAAATAAATAAGGTAAATAAATACAAAGGAAGAATAAAACAGACAAAAATATTAAAACACACATAAATAAATACATTAAAAAAATTAGTAATAAATAAAGTTGAATAAACAAATAAGGTAATTATAACAAAGGTGAATAAGTAAAGGCACTAATTAAAATATATACATTTATGTCTCCTTGTATAATTTAATTACTACCTACATTTATTTATTTACTTATTTTTTTGTGTATTTAATTGGATGCTTATTTATTTATTGAGCATTTATTTATTTCTGTATTTATTTCTGACTGTGTCAGGATCGGTCCTCCATAGCGGGGTGGGAGAGTTATCAAGCACGTAAAGTTTGGTTCAGATGTGAGCATGTACACTGAAGTTACAACAACTTCCTGTGTCATGGCGAAGACTTGATCTCTGACGCCACGCCACGGACACCCATTGACGAAAACTCGCAAATAGCACAACTTTTCATCTTCAATGCCTTTAGAAGGCACAGCACAAATTTGAAGTCGGTCGGACTAAATCCCTAGGAGGAGTTCGTTAAAGTACGAAGTGTGTAAATCATCCAAAATTTGACGTAAAATTCAAAATGGCCGACTTCCTGTTGTTTAGGGCATCGCTCCAAGAGCTTTTTTGTGCGTCTGGACAAGATACACGTACCACAGAAAATTCGTGCACGTAGGTGAAACGTGCGGCGGGGGCTGCTTCGTTAAAAGTCACTTCCTGTTGCCAGCAGGTGGCGCTATGACTGGTGAATGTCAGCATGTACATGTGTTCAGGGCGGGACTCTCATCCTACATGTACAGTTTGGTCCAGATGTGAGCATGTACACTGAAGTTACGACAACTTCCGTGTCATGGCGAAGAGTTGATCTTTGACGCCACGCCACGGACACGCCCATTGACGAAAACTTGCAAATAGCACAACTTTTCATCTTCAATGCCTTTAGAAGGCACAGCAGCAATTTGAGGTCGGTCGGACTAAATCCCTAGGAGGAGTTCGTTAAAGTACGAAGTGTGTAAATCATCCAAAATTTGACGTAAAATTCAAAATGGCCGACTTCCTGTTGTTTAGGCTATGGCTCCAAGAGACTTTTTTGTGCGTCTGGACAAGATACACGTACCACAGAAAATTCGTGCACGTAGGTGAAACGTGCGGCGGGGGCTGCTTCGTTAAAAGTCACTTCCTGTTGCCAGCAGGTGGCGCTATGACTGTGGGTGAATGTCAGCATGTACATGTGTTCAGGGCGGGACTCTCATCCTACATGTACAGTTTGGTCCAGATGTGAGCATGTACACTGAAGTTACGACAACTTCCGTGTCATGGCGAAGAGCTGATCTTTGACGCCACGCCACGGACACGCCCATTGACGAAAACTTGCAAATAGCACAACTTTTCATCTTCAATGCCTTTAGAAGGCACAGCACAAATTTGAGGTCGGTCGGACTAAATCCCTAGGAGGAGTTCGTTAAAGTACGAAGTGTGTAAATCATCCAAAATTTGACGTAAAATTCAAAATGGCCGA